GATCAAGAACCAGTGTTAAAGATGGGAGAAGATCAAGCTTTACTGAAAACATTAGCAAAAACTAAGGCCCCAGGATTCAAAGGAATACCAGTAGTCATATTCCAACAAACAGATGCAACCATGGATGTGATCATCAGGTTATGCCAAGAAATGTGGAATACCTTAACAACCAGCAGGAAGATATCCATATTTTTTTGAAATTGAAATAAATAGGTAAATCAATAAAATGTGGAAACTATCAAATAATATCATTAACATACAAGGAACATCTTGCTAAACATGATGGGAAAAAGGCTAGAATAATATCAATCATCAGATTATTGCCTGAGATTTAAAATGGACTCAGAAGAAAATGTAGCACCAGGGCCAACATTGTGATGTCAGATGGATCCTGGATGAAAGCAGAGAACACCCGAAGATTGTCTCTCACTGCTTTATTGGCACCTGACTGTGTGGATCACAACAAATTAGAGTGATCACAGAGAAGAATGGGGATCCCATTAACTTGTCCACTAGACTGAGAAGCTGTTGTCTGAACAGAGCAAGCAAACACTGCTTATCAACCTGGATTATGCAGATAACACAACTGTGCTTGCTGTAAGTGTTGTTATTGTTGTTATATACTGTCAAGTATGACTCATAGCGACGCTATACCAACAGACCTGAATCTTGTCCTATCCTGTGCCATCCTCATCATCTCTGACACACTTGAGCCCATTGCTGCAAACACCATACCAATTCTTCATGTTGGGTCTTCTGCTTTTTTGGTGACACTCAATCTTTCCTAGTAAATTGTTCTTCCTAGCAAAATACCCAAAGTATGAGAGACAAAGTTGCTGAAAGTGAGGAAGACTTAAAACAAGTGCTGCAGAGAGTGAAGCCTACAGTATTCAATATGGATTAAAGCTCAACATCAAAAAAAACCAAAAATCTTCACCACTGGGTCAATAGACAACATTATAATAGATGGAGAAAAGACTGACATTGTCATCTGGCTTAGATTCACAATCAACACCTTTGGTACCAGCAGTCAAGAAATCAAAAGCTGTGCTGCACTGGGAAAGTCTGTTGTAAAGGACCACTCCAAAGTGGTAAAGAGCAAATTTAACAATTTAAAACAGTTCTAAAGTTTAAAGACATTTAATCCAAGCCACGGTCTTTTCTATTACTTCCTATGCATCTGAAAGTTGGACAGCGAATAAAGATGACAGATGAAGAATCTATGTTTTTGAGTTATGGTGTGGAGAAGTGTGCTGAAAATACTGTGGACTTCCAAAAGAATAAAGAAATCTGTCATAGACAAAGTGCAACGAGGATGCTTCTTGGAGACAAGAATGCAGCTTTGTTTCACATACTTTGTGCATGTTGTTATGAGGGGTCAGTACTTGGAAAAGGACATCATACTGGGAAAGGTGAACGATCAGCATAAGAGAGGATGACATTCAAGAAGATGGGCAGACAGTGAGTATAACAATGAGTTCCCGTATTTAAGAAATTATTAGGATGGCACGAGATAATGCAGGGGTCAGATCAGAGCACAGTATACTCAAAAGATAATACAAATGACTAGAATAATACAAAGAACACAGTTATGAAAATATCTTAGAAATAATAAAAAATGTGAAGAAATGAGTTTCTGGACCTAGGAAATCAATATTGATGTTTGTAGAGAGATCCGTGTGAATTGGTTTAACAGTCCACAGAGATAATGCTTTATATTCTAATTCAGTGAGCTCTGGTAGTCTGTTGTTGTTATTTAGGTTCTATATGACTCAGACAGACGCTATGAACAGATCTGAATCCTGTTCTTTCCTGTGTCATCCTCATCCTATCCTCATCACACTGGAGTCCATTGCTGTATTCCTGTGTGAATCCAGTATCGAGGGTTTTGTGTATACTCAAATCCAAAGTCAAGTGGTTGAAATCCATCAGTTACACTATGGGAGAAGAATATGCAGTGTCTTCCAGTGCAATTTACAGCATCTGAAAACTCAGTGGAGGATCAGCTCCAACTTGATGGCACATAACTCACATATGTTAAATAATGACTGGAATCTCAAAAGCTTGCTTGAGTCCATCTAAAATGAAGCCACTGTCCTACCCCTGTTTAGAGTGAAGAAAATCAAAGATGGAAGGAAACTAATGTGTCTAAATGACTGATAGATCACACAAATGTCAGCCTCCACAATCCTGTAAACTACAGAAGTAGATAGTGACTGGATACTACTGTGAACAGCTCAGAAAAGGATAGTAATAGGAGGTCCTAGACAGGGTGCAAGAAAAACATGGACATTTTATTTTAAAAGGGTTTGTGGGGTTTTTTTTTTTGTTTGTTTTTTTATAAAAAGGCTAAGCTGACAATGCCAGCTTAGAGGGATGAGGATGTGTTAGAGGGATATGAGGTTGTATATGTGTGTGTGTGTGTGTGGGGGAATTAATCATGGGGTTATACAATTTGATGCATGAGGGGGTGAGGGAAATTAGAAGAATCTGTCCTGAAAACAATGTTTAAGCTGACTAGTTTGATAGAAACGGCTGGGAATTATGAAGACAATGGATCTTAATCAAAGTCTAAACTTTATGTCCTAGTTTAAGCCTTTCTCCTGCGGAGCACCTTGTGGATTTGAAATGCTGTTATTAGTTAGGTGTTAAACATCTAACACATTGGTCGACTTCAATCACTCTTTAAATAACATGGTTCAACTTTTCAACAGTAGATGAGCTTGGAAAGTAAATAATACCACGAGCACTCTCTAAGATAATCACATAAGATTAAAGGATAGCATTTGACCTAGGGTAAGCGCAAAAATCAGGGATAGGAAAGGATCAATGAAACAGTAGCAAGTGGAAAGAGTGTTGTTATACTGTGGTGACTGAAGTCAGTATTATTAATCAAAATGTGCATGAATCATTAAATAGAAAATCAACTGCCTCATAAAATTTAAAAGTTAATACATACCAATGCTTTATTGAGTATTACTTGCAGGTGTAATATGATTATATTGTTTGCTTTCTTCTTTGTTGCTATGATAAGGTTAAAGAAATTTATTAAATAACTGACAAAAGGAAGAGACGATGATCTCATAATGCAATTCTGCAGTGTCAAAAAAGATTAGAATCCTGATCATCTAAAGACTACGTAATCCTCTAATTTTTTAAAGGTTTTTAATATACAAGTATACATTTGTTTATAAATGTATGAGTGTGTAAATTCACTTACGTATGTATGTGTAAATTTCATTTAGTGGATTCCCTATGTGTTTTCAGATAGCAAAGCAATACATGTCAGATGAAAATGGAAAATGCCATTAACTTTAAAAGTTTCGTATATCATTTCCAATGCAGCAACTCTTAAGTTCTGTCAGGGCTTGCTAAATCTTTTAAGACATATGTATACATTTGGGTCAAAACTAAAAGCAGTATCTTATTTAGGAGAAAAATAAAATCCAATTGCTAAATGATAGTTATGGTGCTGGTTAATGCTAAATATTCTACTGGCCTATATATGGCTCTGGTTAATGCTGAATTTTCTATTTGCCAATATGAGAAGTAGGGGTTTTCCTCAAAACAGTACCCCAAAATGTAAATATACATACATATCAAGTAAAACAACTGATTAAGTGAAATTCTATTTTTCTAAGTTTAAATGCACTCATACATTCATTTTCATACCACTGAAATGTATCAATTGTTAAGGAGGATGTACACTAAAATATCACCATCTTATTTTTCTTTCTTTTTCTTTTTTAATTTTAAGAAACAGATACTTTCCATGTAAGTTGTCAGCATAAAGGAGATTTAAAAAACGATACAAACATTTGCAAATGAATCTGATCCATCATGAGATGACTATAAAATAGATGTTGGGTTTCCAAACTGGGAAAAGGTTGAAATCAAATAGTAACAAAAATTACTCTTTCAGCATAATTAAGACAATATTACGAAAATACTTGGGGATAAACAGAAAAAAACCCATCATTTAATAGATTAGGAAATATGTAAGATGAAAATTTTTTTAAATAAATCTCATGTTAAAGAAGGATTACAGAAAATAAAAATGTAAATTATCTCTTTAAAATTCAGGCAGGCAGTACTTGCGTTATGAGAAAGATTCATTCCTAAATGTGCTTTAAGAGTTCATAAAGAAAAAAAACCCAACAGGTGCATAGAATACTTAGCCTTACTTTAGTACAAGGAAAGGTTCAAAGACTTTCTAATAATTAATAAGTTGCACATGCAAGAAAATTGAGCGTGACAAATAATCTTTTGTGAGTAGGGGCTAGTTGAATCATTTAAAGTAAGGGCAAGTTGATTGACATAACAAATTTAAAACAGGGCATCGAAGATGGTGTCTCAGCCATACCAAATTGAATGTCTGTGGCTATTCACAGTGTAATAACTGAGGATCATATAATAATATGCCAATTTTATGTATAAGGCTTCTGAAAGGGCTCAGGATAACCTCATAAGAGTGTTCCATTCATGGGACTGATCTCAGGGTGGGGGTAAGACTGAGAAAAACTGGGTAAATTGTGTATACTGCACTGAAACAGATGAGGGAGTGAATAATTTATAAGTGATGTATGATAGGGTATTATGGTTATCACAAGAGTCCACAATTAAGGTTGCATAGTGGAATGTACTTGGGGCGGTGGGAGGGGTGCGAGGGGATTGTGTACCAGGGAGGGAGTCTTTCTTTTGCTTTAGAAAGAGAGGAGCAAACTGGGGGGCGGGGGGAGATGGCTGGGCGTGTAGAGAAGTACAGCAATGAATGAATGGAAATCTGTAAATGTTCATTAAAATTATTTTTTTAAAAAGTGTTCCATTCAAGAACTTCAACCCTCATTTTCCATGTTCCACTTACTGTCACCCAAACTGCAAAAATTCAGCCTTGTTTCTGTTTTGCCTTTGTGGCCATGACAGAAATGGTTTGAAGCCAAACATTAAAAAGCAAGTAGGAGCTGTCTGTAAGTCAGATGTTCATAATTTGAGAGAGTCTGTAAAATAATTTGTCTTCAATGCAATGAATTAACAAAAAGGAAAAGAAAAGAAAATCTGTTTCATGTGACTTAGCAGGAACAGTTTCCACAACCTTTCACACTGTTGACAATTTCTTCCTGCAGTTTCTTCCTTTCCTCCTCCTTGGACATATTTTCTTTTTTTGCATTCCATCTGAAGTTACTGTGGTTCTGTACATAACTGCTTTGTGTATGCCACATATCTGAATAAATACTGCCAGATTTAGCAAGCAAGCTGTGATGGGTACCACGTTCAGCTATCTTACCCTAAAGGGTAAAAAAAGTAAAAGAGAGAAACAGAAAGAGGTCATATAAGAAGCAAAATAACGGAAAATTATGTCTAAGGATTTTCAAGGAATAGCATTCATTAAATCACCTCTCTTAATTCCTCTTCATCCATAGTACAGTTTAAAAAAAAATGCTTTCTCCATGTTACTTCTGACCTCCATTTCTCATTCTACTTAGTCCAATGAACAGCTATGCAATTCCATATACAGAAACCATTTTATATACAGGACATATATTTTGAAGAGCAGAAAGGTAACATGTAATATTTTTCAAGGAAAAACTTTCTGTAATCAAAAAATACTGAAATCAAAAGCACAGTTAGTCACACATCTTCTCCTCAATTATTGACATAGTTAAATTCCAAAGACAAGGTAATTTTGCAAAAGTAAGCATTATAGAAAAAATGGAGACCAACCATACTAGATCACAAAATCTATTTTAATAATAAGTATTTATAATAATTATGTCATGATATAATTTCAAAATTATATTACATTAATTGCCAAATTACTGAGAATTATGACCCAGCCAAGTTGACACATACCCTTAACCATTTCAGTCAGCATTATTCTTGCCTTAAACTTGACATTGTTACTACCAAGCATATGTTGTTAATGCAAAACATAGTAGATTTATTTTTGTAATGGTGGATAATAAGACAGAAGATACAATGAAATTTAAAAATTAAAGAACCCTCTATATGATCTTTGAAATAAAAAAATTTCTTCATGAAAAGTTGACTTCTTCAGTAGCTCTTTTGTTAACAAAGGCTATAAACATTAACACTGAGTAGATATACTACAGATACTAATGTGGATTAAGCTGTATTCCCTAATTGCGGATATTTAGATATGAAACATTTGAATGCAATGTTGTTTTGAAAGGTTTTTCAGTTTCTTTGTTCAAAAAGATCATACTAGAGTACGTTTGGTTCTAGTCCTAATTATAACTCAATTCCTTGCCATTAAGCCAGAACCAACTCATAGCTGACCCTCTAACAGTTTTTCAGAGTTTATAAATCACATGGGAGGATACTGCCTTTCTTCCTCCCAAGAAACAGCTGGTAGATTTGAAACATACGCTTTTGAGTTGGCAGCACAACTTTGTATTCATTAAGCCAACAGTTTTGTTGATTGCAGTTAAGTTGAGCATGACTCATAGTGACCCTATGAACAAAAGACCTGAAGCCTTTCTGTATTGCCATTTCTCCAACTTCACAAAGTTTCCATAGGCATGTGGTTTAGAAAGTGGATACCACTCCTGCTTCCAAACCTATCTTAAAACTGAGAGCTCCACCAAATACTGTCCACCATGGGGAATTGTTATGACACCCCAATGCCGTAAGGTTCAGCATCACAGCAAACCCAGATTACCTTATTACAGCAAATTGAAAGAAGAGTGCTGTATGACTTAGAATGTTCCCCCAAAATATAACAACATTCCATATGACCAATAACCCAGAACAAGATCTCTCATCTTACAAAGTCCTGCTGTACGACCCAGTTCTAAAATGGAGATGAGGAGCTCAGCTTAAATATGAGGGCCCCCAGGAAGTCTTGTTGACACTAAACAAGAGGCTTAAATAAAACAACCCAACATTCCACACAACGACAACCTTGAACCAGAGCACCCATCTCACAAAGTCTTCCTGCAAGACTCAGTTCTAAAATGGAGACAAGGGAAGTCACCAGAACTAGTTAGAATTTTATAAAAGAGGACAATGGATAGGGAAAGGGAAATAATGTGAGGACAGTATGCAAAGATTTCAATATAAGCCAAAACTGAAAGAGAAAAAGAAAGATATTTTTATAGGGTCAGCAATGAGAGCCCTATTAGTATCCAGATTAAAATTAATATTCTTCAGAAGAATCCATTTTCCCTTCTTAAAAGCCTTCTATTTTGTAGTATTTTGACACAAGAGCCGTAAGCAACTAGGACACATTCTAAGGCTGCATACTCGGACTGCCCCTGATGCCAATAAGTAGCCTCCACCCCCCACACACCTAGGTAAACATGATCTGCTGCTGCCCCAGTCTGAAGACTAAGGGTGCCTGATCTAGGCCATGGTCTTCTCAACTGCTTGTTAGGCACCACAAAGCTGGATAATGAAGAAGAATTGATGCTTTTGAGTTGTGGTGCTGGAGGAGAGTACTGAGCACCCCATGCACTGCCAAGAGAACAATCAAGTCTGTCGTGGAGAAGGTGAAACCAGTTCCTCGTTGGAGGCAAGGATTTTGAAGCTCCATCTCACATACTTCGGACATGGTGCAAGGGGGGACCAGTTCTTCGAGAAAACATCATGATTGGAAAGATGGAGGGAAGCGCAAGAGATGAAGAATCTGGAGGAGATGGATTGACACAGTAACTGGGATAATGGGGGTAGGTGTGTCAAAGGAAGTGAGATGGCTCGGGATAGGATAGAGTTTAGAGCCATTGTGCATAGGGTAGCTATGAGTCACAAGTTACTTGATGGCATAAAACAGCACCAAACAACAACAACATACTTGATTTGCACATTCAAAGCTACTGTTAAACATGTTAAGAGACATGTTTGTCATTTTAACTGCTAGTGCTGGATATGAAACCTATACTAGTATTTCATTAAGTAATGTAACTTTGAAATTCATCTGAGTCATAATTTCAGGAACCTGAATGACTGCTGACTAGGCACTTTAAAAAATTA